ATTTTTTCTCATCAATTTTATATATTCACTCTCCTTTTTAAACTTTTTATTTTTTCTTATTCAGTTTTATATATTTATCATTCTTTTTAAACTTCATTATTTTTTTATTCAATTTTATATATTCAATCTTCTTTTAAACTTCATTATTTTTCTCATCCAATTTTATATATTCACCTTCTTTTTTAATCTTCATTATTTTTCTTATTCAATTTTATATATTCACCCTTCTTTTTAATCTTCATTATTTTTCTTATTCAATTTTATAAATTCATCTTTTTTTAAACTTCATTATTTTTCTTATCCAATTTTATATATTCACCTTCTTTTTAAACTTCATTATTTTTCTCATCAATTTTATATATTCACCCTTCTTTTTAAACTTCATTATTTTTCTCATTCAATTTTATATATTCACCTCTTTTTTAAACTTCATTATTTTCTCATCCAATTTTATATATTCACTCTTCTTTTTAAACTTCATTATTTTCTTATTCAATTTTATATATTCACTCTCTTTTTTAAACTTTTTTTTTTCTTATTCAGTTTTATATATTTATCATTCTTTTTAAACTTCATTATTTTTTTTATTCAATTTTATATATCCACTCTTCTTTTTAAAATTCATTATTTTTCTTATCAATTTTATATATTCACCCTTCTTTTTTAATCTTCATTATTTTTCTTATTCAATTTTATATATTCACCCTTCTTTTTAATCTTCATTATTTTTTCTTATACAATTTTTTATAATTCACCCTTCTTTTTAAACTTCATTATTTTTTCTTATCAATTTTATATATTCACCCTTCTTTTTAAACTTCATTATTTTTCTCATCCAATTTTATATATTCACCCTTCTTTTTAAACTTCATTATTTTTCTCATCCAATTTTATATATTCACCCTTCTTTTTAAACTTCATTATTTTTCTCATCCAATTTTATATATTCACTCTTCTTTTTAAACTTCATTATTTTTCTTATCCAATTTTATATATCCACTCTCCTTTTTAAACTTTTTATTTTTCTTATTCAGTTTTATATATTTATCATTCTTTTTAAACTTCATTATTTTTTTATTCAATTTTATATATCCACTCTTCTTTTTAAACTTCATTATTTTTCTTATCCAATTTTATATATTCACCCTTCTTTTTAATCTTCATTATTTTTTCTTATTCAATTTTATATATTCACCCTTCTTTTTTTAATCTTTTTAATCTTCATTATTTTTCTTATTCAATTTTATATATTCACCCTTCTTTTTAAACTTCATTATTTTTCTTATCCAATTTTATATATTCACCCTTCTTTTTAAACTTCATTATTTTTCTTATTCAATTTTATATATTCACCCTTCTTTTTAAACTTCATTATTTTTCTTATTCAATTTTATATATTCACCCTTCTTTTTAAACTTCATTATTTTACTTATTCTATTTTATATATTCCCCCTTCTTTTTAAACTTCATTATTTTTCTCATCCAATTTTATATATTCACCCTTCTTTTTAAACTTCATTATTTTTCTCATCCAATTTTATATATTCACCCTTCTTTTTAAACTTCATTATTTTTCTCATCCAATTTGATATATTCACCCTTCTTTTTAAACTTCATTATTTTTCTCATCCAATTTTATATATTCACCCTTTTTTAAACTTTTTATTTTTCTCATCCAATTTTATATATTCTCTTTTTTTAAACTTCATTATTTTTTTATTCAATTTTATATATTCACCTTCTTTTTAAACTTCATTATTTTTCTTATTCAATTTTATATATTCACCCTTCTTTTTTTAAACTTCATTATTTTTTTAATTCAATTTTATATATTCACCCTTCTTTTTTTTAAACTTCATTATTTTTTTTCATCAATTTTATATATTCACCTTCTTTTTAAACTTCATTATTTTTCTCATCCAATTTTATATATTCACCCTTCTTTTTTAAACTTCATTATTTTTTCTCATCCAATTTTATATATTCACTCTTCTTTTTAAACTTTTTATTTTCTTATTCAATTTTATATATTCATCATTCTTTTTAAACTTCATTATTTTTTTTTTATTCAATTTTATATATTCACCTTCTTTTTTAAACTTCATTATTTTTCTCATTCAATTTGATATATTCACCCTTCTTTTTAAACTTCATTATTTTTTTTATTCAATTTTATATATTCACCCTTCTTTTTAAACTTCATTATTTTTCTCATCAATTTTATATATTCACCCTTCTTTTAAACTTCATTATTTTTCTCATTCAATTTTATATATTCACCCTTCTTTTTAAACTTCATTATTTTACTCATCCAATTTTATATATTCACCCTTCTTTTTAAACTTCATTATTTTTCTCATCCAATTTTATATATTCACTCTTCTTTTTAAACTTCATTATTTTTCTCATCCAATTTTATATATTCACCCTTCTTTTTAAACTTCATTATTTTTCTCATCCAATTTTATATATTCACCCTTCTTTTTAAACTTCATTATTTTTCTAATCCAATTTTATATATTCACCCTTCTTTTTAAACTTCATTATTTTTCTCATCCAATTTTATATATTCACCCTTCTTTTTAAACTTCATTATTTTTCTCATCCAATTTTATATATCCACTCTCCTTTTAAACTTTTTATTTTTTCTTATTCAGTTTTTTATATTTATCATTCTTTTTAAACTTCATTTTTTTTTTATTCAATTTTATATATCCACTCTTCTTTTAAACTTCATTATTTTCTTATCCAATTTTATATATTCACCCTTCTTTTTAATCTTCATTATTTTTCTTATTCAATTTTATATATTCACCCTTCTTTTTAAACTTCATTATTTTTCTTATCCAATTTTATATATTCACCCTTCTTTTTAATCTTCATTATTCTTCTTATTCAATTTTATATATTCACTCTTCTTTTTAAACTTCATTATTTTTCTTATCCAATTTTATATATTCACCCTTCTTTTTAAACTTCATTTTTTTTCTCATCAATTTTATATATTCACCCTTCTTTTTTTTAATCTTCATTATTTTTCTTATTCAATTTTTATATTCACCTTCTTTTTAATCTTCATTATTTTTCTTATTCAATTTTATATATTCACCTTCTTTTTAAACTTCATTATTTTTCTTATTCAATTTTATATATTCACCTTCTTTTTTTTAAACTTCATTATTTTTCTTATTCAATTTTATATATTCACCCTTCTTTTTAAACTTCATTATTTTTTCTTATTCAATTTTATATATTCACCTTCTTTTTAAACTTCATTATTTTTCTTATTCTATTTTATATATTCCCCTTCTTTTTAAACTTCATTATTTTTCTCATCAATTTTATATATTCACCCTTCTTTTTAAACTTCATTATTTTTTCTCATCCAATTTTATATATTCACCCTTCTTTTTAAACTTCATTATTTTTCTCATCCAATTTTATATATTCACCCTTCTTTTTAAACTTCATTATTTTTCATCATCAATTTGATATATTCACCCTTCTTTTTTAAACTTCATTTTTTTTCTCATCCAATTTTATATATTCACCCTTCTTTTTTAAACTTCATTATTTTTTCTCATCCAATTTTATATATTCACTCTTCTTTTTAAACTTCAATATTTTTCTTATCCAATTTTATATATCCACTCTCCTTTTTAAACTTTTTATTTTTCTTGGTCAGTTTTATATATTTATTCTTTTTAAACTTCATTATTTTTTTATTCAATTTTATATATCCACTCTTCTTTTTAAACTTCATTATTTTTCTTATCCAATTTTATATATTCACCCTTCTTTTTAATCTTCATTATTTTTCTTATTCAATTTTATATATTCACCCTTCTTTTTAAACTTCATTATTTTTCTTATTCAATTTTATATATTCACCCTTCCTTTTAAACTTCATTATTTTACTTATTCTATTTTATATATTCCCCCTTCTTTTTAAACTTCATTATTTTTCTCATCCAATTTTATATATTCCCCCTTCTGTTTAAACTTCATTATTTTTTCTCATCCAATTTTATATATTCACCCTTCTTTTAAACTTCATTATTTTTCTCATCAATTTTATATATTCACCCTTCTTTTTAAACTTCATTATTTTTTCTCATCCAATTTGATATATTCACCCTTCTTTTAAACTTCATTATTTTTCTCATCCAATTTTATATATTCACCCTTCTTTTTAAACTTCATTATTTTTCTCATCCAATTTTATATATTCACCCTTCTTTTTAAACTTCATTATTTTTCTCATCCAATTTTATATATTCACTCTTCTTTTTAAACTTCATTATTTTTCTTATTCAATTTTATATATTCACCCTTCTTTTTAAACTTCATTATTTTTCTTATTCAATTTTATATATTCACCCTTCTTTTTAAACTTCATTATTTTACTTATTCTATTTTATATATTCCCCCTTCTTTTTAAACTTCTTTTATCTTTTACTGTTTTCTTTTTTATCATCTTCTATTTCAAAATTTAGTCTCCGTTTACTTTTCTTCTTTTTACTTTTTTTTTCTCGGTTCGACTACTTAATCTCGCATGATTCGTTCCCATTTAAGCTTACGGCCGTATAACTTTGAAAGCACGGTTTTTTGTACGGTAACCAAAATTAAACAACGTTGATACGAATGATCGTTTGGAAATAGATGGTGCCGTATTCTTGGAGGTGCAGGTGGAGTAATGGATAACGGCTCGGAATTCGAAATAGCAAAGCCGTGTTCTGAATCCAGGCTAGTTCGTTATATTCACTTAGGTGGAAATAACCCTTTGGAAAACTATAAGTCCACATCTTCTTTCTCCCACTATAAGTTTATTACTCGGACTTGTATCAGTAAATCATTATTTCCGCAAAATGCAAACGATCTAAAAAATATTTTCAGGCGTTAAATAACCTGCAAAAGGTTGATAAGCTGTAAAGAAAAACAAAAAAAAACAACAATCAGTCAATCAATCCTTCCCATTTATTTAATCATTTTTCTTCTAGTTTTTCGTTCGTCCCATTTTTTGTTTCTCAGTTGTATTTTTTTTTTTCAATATTTCTTACTTTTTTCTTTTCTTCTTTCTTTTTCTTTTCTTCTTTCTTTTTTTCTTTTCTTCGTTCTTTTTTCTTTTCTTCTTTCTTTTTTCTTTTCTTCGTTCTTTTTTTCTTTCTTTTTTCTTTTCTTATTTTTTCTTTCTGCTTTCTTTTTTGTTTTCTTCGTTCTTTTTTGTTTTCTTCTTTCTTTTTTGTTTTCTTTCTTTTTTCTCTTCTTCATTCTTTTTTCTTTTCTTCGTTCTTTTTTCGTTTCTTCATTCTTTTTTCTTTTCTTCATTCTTTTTTCTTTTCTTCGTTCTTTTTTCTTTTCTTCTTTCTTTTTTCTTTTCTTCTTTCTTTTTTGCTTTCTTCTTTCTTTTTTCTTTTCTTCGTTCTTTTTTCTTTTCTTCGTTCTTTTCTTTCCTCTTCCTTCTGCTTCCTTGATTCTTTTTTTTCTCGCTAGTCCTTCTTCGACTCTATGGCCTTCTTGATGGTATTTCATTATCAATTCAGCATCTTTTCACTAAAAGTGTCCTCTATTTTATTCCCTTGGATCTCTCGAATGCACAGACCGATAAGCAAATTCCATACAGTTTAATAAAATAAACAAATAAATTAAGATGGCGCGTCTATTTCAAATAAGAACGGTCCACTATAATACCGTTTGAAATAACTGAAATGTCGGATTGGAAATAAATCCATTATTTCTTCAGAAACTATAGGCTTTTGTTGTTTTTTATTTATTTATTTAAGATATGATACTGGATAATGATAGGAGTGGTTTTCGGCATATTTAATTATCATGGATCAACTGGTACCGACGAATTTCGCCAGTACTTTGTAAAGATAATTCCCAATAGAATAACGGTGATAATAATAATAATAATAATAATAATAATAATATCGCTTATATCTTCCTCTTTATGTGATGTGCCTTTGTAGAACATTGGCGAGGTATGCGAGCCAATATTTCCTGTCCGTTATATCTTTTGGCAAGGTCTATCTTTTTACTATAATTTCTACACCCCGTTCTGCTATCAATCTACAGAAACCCATTACATATACTACACACTGTTTTCTTATGTCATGCTTGCCGCCATTATGTTTTGTGAGTATAAAATTTTCAAACCCTTCCTACCTCATTATGTGTCCAAGAAACTTTAAATACCTCTGAGTCAAGATATAAACGTCTTTTCTTTTCTATTTTTTCTTAAAACTTTGACCTTACATGTTCAGTCCATAGAATTCTCAGAATGCTTCTGTAGAACCACATTTCTGTTACTTCGACATCTGTAAGGGAATTTTGAGAGGGTCTTGTGCGTTTTATATGCCGTTAAATAAGGTACGTGGCAAGTCATAGACTCATAAATTTACCCATGGTTTTATTGCATGAGGGTCGCATTAAAAAAGATTTTATCGAACCGTTTCCATAAATCTGACCAAATGGACATAGATCTAAATAATGGTTTTTAATCTTTTTTGGTTTGTCCAAGAACTTTTGAGCATCAAGGAAACGAAATCCAAAATAAACGTTCTGTAATATCTAATATCCCAACAGGGGACACAAACAAGAAGATAAAATGCAAAATTGCCAAACATATCAGGTAATTTTCGTCGCTTTTGCCTTCCGACTCTCTACAGGTAATCTGCGAGATTTTGTTCTTGTTCCACGAGAACTTGTTGATCACGCAAAAAAAAAGCCCCTCAGGAAAGAGAGTACTGTTGTGATCAGCAGGTCTTTCAGATAAGGTTTTGTTACATTTTTTTTTTGTATTATAAATATGCTTCTTCCTTTTGCTGAGAAGATATTTTTGGTGGTTGCTGCCAATATTTCCAGGGAAATAAACAAGTTTTCATCCTTCTAAATATATAGGATTTCATCAGGAAAAAAGGTTGGAAAATGACCTTTTAGCACAGAAAATGGCACCTCAAAGTCAGCAGAAAACCGGCTCTCTCTCTCTCTCTCTATCTATCTCTCTCTCGCTCTCAAGTGCTTTCTGTCTTACACGCGCGTGGGCGGGAAAATACGCACATATAAATACCTATACGCATGTACAATAATAAATATATTTAATATAATCTTGACTCATCTGGAGTATATTTGCCTGAATTTTCACTTATAACTGTTTGATTGTGTGATATGCGTAGAGCTCCGACCATAGTTTTTGCTATCATTCTAAACTGGGTCCTTACAAACCATTTAGACTCGATGGTAATAATACAATAATAAAATGTGCTCCTGAACTGGCTCCTATTCTCTCTAACACTACAAAAAGCGCCCTGTGCTTCTTGCTTTCCAGGTCTTAAGACCTCAGACGAAACATCTACCCCTTTTCAACTATCGGCCTATTAGTCTTCTACATCGTTTTGGCAAAGTACTAGAGGTTCTAATCAACTCTGAACTGGTTAATAACCCCCACATCGCATGGTGGTGGTCTTTCAGATAAGCAGTATGTCTTTCGCTTTTTCAGGTCAACTGCTGATGTATTAAAGATTATTGGTGAAAGTGACTACCAAGTTCTTATTAATAAGAAACTCGAGCAGTCCCGTTGGATATCACGAAGGCATTTGACAGAGTTTGGAAAACTGGTCTTCTTCACAACGTAATAGTTTTTGTTATTTTTGGACGAATTTTTGAACTGATTCTGTCTTTCTTATCAAACCGTGAAAGGAAACTTGTCTTGAATGGCCACTCTTCTAGATCTGTTTTCATTAGTGCAGATGTCCTGCAGTGCTCTATCATTGGACAAGTGTGTTCTTAATTTTCCTCAACGACCATCCTGGTGTCATCAGTTCTCAACTTGATACTCATGCGGATGGCACAAATATTTACTCCTGTCTTAATAGTAAATCTGATCGGTTACATGAAATCAAATTGCCAGCTTATCTAAAAAATAAAAATACCTAACTTCATTTGTTAAATAGTGCAAGGAATGGCTTGTCAGTTTTAACTTCAAGACGAAACTAATATCGTTTATCCCTACTGAATTCCCAGCCGACTGACGCTAACCGCCAAGAAAGTGTTTCATTGCGCAGACTAAAATTTTCGTATAACATGAAGGCGACATGGAAACGAAAGATTATATTGAATCAATTTCTAGGTCGGCTACTAAGAAAGTTGATATACTGTGTCGTTATAGGTCATCTTCTTACGTCAGAATCTATATTATCTATCTGTTGAGTGTGGGTTGCTTTGTTTTAATGTAGATGGCCTCCAATATCGGAAAGTCGTTTTTACTGTGTATGTGTGAGCATTGTTGTGTTATCAAATAATATCTGTCTAATAGTATGTACATGGCTACATGTTACTAAGAAATGTTGTTTAATAGAACTAAGATCAGAAAAGGGACAGATACGTCTACGAGAGAGCGTGGTTGTAGTAAGATCAATATGTATAGTGGGTTTATTTTAGATGACATTCTGAGATAGAAGGTTGTTATTCGACAAGAACGGTCGCGGAATCCCAGACGCAGGTCGTAAATTCATGCTGAAGTTCTATGACGTCGTGCCATGCAATATACATACAAATATATATATATATATATATATATATATATATATATATATATATATATATATATATATATATATATATGTAAAAAAATGACAAACTGTAAACTGTAATTTTTTTTTTTTTTTTTTTGTGAGGCGATTCAACCCTTAGGATTTTCTTAACATTGTCAAGTCTGCACATGCAGACGAAACAAGAAATGCAGTTAGTGTCAAAATTTTTGAAATAATTTTTTTTTCTGAATCTAGCCAAATTCATCTGTCACCTTGGACATAGATCTAAATAATGGTTTTTAATCTTTTTTTGTTTGTCCAAGAACTTTTGAGCATCAAGGAAACGAAATCCAAATGTTATAATTATTTTAAAAAAAAATATGCAACTGGTTAGCAGTATTCAGGTTTAATCTCAATATTAAACCTTAACTACCGGATGGCAGTCTCATCCTCAGGTGATATTTAGAACATCTATGTTACGGAATGGTTTACTCATGTTTGTTTATCTGTGCATGTGTGTGTATATAACGTTTAATAAAAAATATATATACAATTGTGTATGTGTATATCTGCGTATGTGCGTGATTATATTCGTTACAGTTTATGGAGAAAGAAAATTTAATATGGAGGGTGCATCAAACACACACACACACACACACACATATATATATATATATATATATATATATATATAATTGTGTGTGTGTGTGAGCGTGTGAGAGTAGTGTATTATTTGGAGAGTTAACGTGAAAGAAGGAATATAAAAATGAAATAAAATTACTTATAACTTCTGTATGAACTGCCAATAATAAAGATGGCGGCAGGGCACATCATCCCGTCAATATTCTTAAAGTGTAATGTGTATAATTAATGGATAATTCCAGCAATAATATACAGCTGTGTAACGTAGGAAGTGATAAAATGCTTGAGAGCGTACTAACGCACCCACAAAAAAAGCAATAAAAAAGAGCCAGCGTTGGCATAGTACAAAGAAATATGAAGAAGGCGCTATGAATCAGAGAACAGACCAAAATAAAAGACAACATAAAATTGATTATCTGACAACAATGGAGGTCGGCGGAACACAGGCAAAGAAAAAAAAGATAGCAGATGGAGTAACGCGTCGGTTGGTTGTTGCTCAACATTAAAAGACAAGAAATGAAACGGTGAGATATGATAGAGTATTGTCTAATGAGACATTATTGCGAATAAGACAGGTAGCCTATCATGGAAGCAGTTGGGAAAGCCCTTTACTGGGAAGTGAAGTCACAATAATTGAGTATATATATATATATATATATATATATATATATATATTAATTGATTTAAAGTATGGTTTTTGTCGCGCTACACAGTTCTAACCAAGTTTCAAAAATGGAAGCTGAAAGCTCCGACTTTAATTTTGTAATAAAATTAAAGACATTAGTTCCATTTCATCCTCAAGCGAAATTTTTTTTTATAGAAAAATTCGCTTGAGGATGAAATGGAACTAATGTCTTTAATCCTATTACAAAATTAAATTCGGAGCTTTCAGCTTCCATTTTTGAAACATGGTGAGAACTGTGTAGCGAAAAAAACATATTTTAAATCAATTAATTTATAATATCAATGCTCTGTAAATTTTCATTTAGCACTATTTTGTAAAAATAAAAATATCTATAAGAACACCGGATTATATATCTTACTGTTCTTTCTTTCTTTCTTTCTTTCTTTCTTTCTTTTTCTATATATATATATATATATATATATATATATATATATATATATATATATATGGGGGGTGTTCGTTGTAAGGGCTTCAATAATATATATGTTCTCTCCTTTCTTTTCTATCGTTTATTTCTGTTAACTTTATTATTTTTAAGTTTCAATATTAAAAATCTATAATATGATATGTCCCATATCAACCTCATGATAGCCAGGTATATTTTAATTCAAACCGTAAAACAGTCATTTTGAGCTCAGCACCTGAAGATTGCATCGTTCG